GCATGCAGTGTCCAATCTGCCCCAAACTTCACACATTGAATAGGTGTTATGTCCTAAACAAATACCCATGCCCAAATTCAGTTATAGTCATAGCGCCACCTGCTGGCAACAGGAAGTGACATGCTTAACACTGTTATGGACTCCTAGGAACATATTAAAAATCGTCAGCAAGTGTAAAATAGGCTAGCAACACACAAGAAACATAGTGAAACATGCTAGCAACACTTAGCTAAGTGCTAAAGCATGCTATTAATGCAGTGAAATAAGAAGTTACTGTAACTCAGGCATACAGTGTCCAATCTGCCCCAAAACTAACACGTTTTATAGGTGTTATGTCCTGAACAAATACCCAAACCCAAATTCAGTTATTCTCATAGCGCCACCTGCTGGCAACAGGAAGTGACATGCTTAACACTGTTATGGACTCCTAGGAACATATTAAAAATCGTCAGCAAGTGTAAAATAGGCTAGCAACACACAAGAAACATAGTGAAACATGCTAGCAACACTTAGCTAAGTGCTAAAGCATGCTATTAATGCAGTGAAATAAGAAGTTACTGTAACTCAGGCATACAGTGTCCAATCTGCCCCAAAACTATGAATGACTTTGACATATTCCTCCTATATTTACCACTTATCGCATATTGCCCACTGTTTGCCGTTTTCCTAAAGCCACCGGGTGGCGGTGAGCCCGGGTGCGAGGGCCCGTTCATCGCTGCTTGCAGCTTTAATTTTTAATTATTTTTTTGCAGCTTTAAGCTAGAATAGTGTGTAACAAATATGAGAAATATATTATAAAACATAATATTTGTTTTAAAAAAGATGCACAATATATTCACAATATATCTTTTTTTTTTTTTTTTTATCAATGTAAGTTGATATTGGATATTTAATTATGCATGCAAATGTTTTCTGTTTTTACATTTATATTACCCTTGCTGTCATCTTAACGCTTACTCAAAATTAATTGTTAATCATTTATTAATAATTGCTACTCATTTAATTTAAGCACTGCTAAATGTAATCTTTCACAAATCTCAAAATGAGTATCCATTTGTCATACTGTATATTTGGCTAAAATTTAAATACTGCTTCATCCCTAAAATTATTTCAGCAGGATAGCAAAAAAAAAAAAAAAATTTAAAAATACAAAACTGGAGTACATATATACATATCTATAAAAAAAAATTATAGATGAAAAATGTATATGAAAATTATGCCTTGACAACTAACTAAAAATAAGTTTCAATTGAAGCACTAAAATTACTAAAACCGAACTAAAGCTAAATAGAATGGTGAGCTTCCTGCTTCCATTGCAGAGATGATAGATGATTTTTCTCAGACCCAGAACCACTTTTCTTCATTGGAAATGTGTTGATAAGGGCCAGAGTAACCACATCTCTGGTGCCCTGTTAGTGGAAAAGGGGGTGTGTGTGTGTGTGTGTGTGTGTGTGTGTGTGTTTGTGTGCTGGGTTTCATATTTCGTTGTGAATGATAAATCAGCTGTCATGCTCTAAATGTAGTTTTCTTTTTACATGTAGTGCACGAATTCATTCTCGTAACTGCATGATATATACTGATGCATGCATATGTTGTGTCGCCACCTTCCTCTTCCTCTTCCTCCAAAGGCATGATGGGTAGTTACAGGCCACCCATGCAGCCCTTTCAGGGGCCTGTCGATGGCATGATTAACATGGCCGGCATGCCTCCACATCCCATGGGGTTGCCTACCTTACCCCTCTACTCCCTGTGGGGTATGCCTAGCATGCCATATTCGGGTAAGGACCACTTCACAACCACACGTCCCCACTTGCAGTTGCTTCCTGTCTGCCTCTCCAGTTCTAACAAGAGGGGCTACCTGTTCCATAGGCTCAGGGGCTCAAATGTCTGCCCTGGCCTTGACTAAACCAACTGAAGAGACTCCTGAGGTTCTGTAGAGGAATAGTTCATGCAAAAATGACAATTCTGTCATCATTTACTCATCCTTTTGTCTTTCCAAAATCGGTATGGCTTTCTTTCATTCATAGAACACAAGATTAGATGTTTTGATAACACTTTTTTTGTTTAGTTGATTGGTGCCATCAATAAGAAACCTGACACAAACAAATCATTTAGTGAACAACAACTTCAATTTCAATCTTTTAAAAACACAGTTATCATATAACTTCAAAGAAGTCACATGGACTACTTTTATAGTAGATTTTTGGAGCTTGACAAGCCCTCGTCACTATAGGATTTTGTTGTATGGAAAAGAGCAGCATGAACATTTCTCTCAATTTCTCCTTTTGCTTGATTTAGGATAAAGACTTCAGATGTCTACATTTCTGTGGAATCCACATAAGCACATACTATCTATATACATAGATAAACATGAACATAAAGAGCTCAGGGTATCAGTTTACTTTGAAAGTCTCTTATTCACAGTGTATGCTAATACCTCTTTCACAGGTGTGAATGGAATGGCCCCAGGTTCTACAGGAAGCATTTACGGGACTCAGGTAATGCTCATTTTGAAGGGTTTCACATTTATAACATTTACATTAACATTTAAATGTTTATTTAGTTTTATCTTAAAAAAAAAAAAAAAAACACTAGAGTGGCTTTAGCTGCTGGGGCACAAAAGTAAAAGCGAGACCAACTATTTTTCATTTCTGTGCTTTGTAATACTCCAAGGTCCTCTAAATCTTTGTGTTTTTCTAGATGGGTGTGATGAACTCAGGCCAGCAGGCCCCGCCACCCTACCCAGGACAGGGGCAGGTTGGGCAGCCTGCTCTGCATCAACCCTCCACCCCCATATTTGTGGCTCCTCCTCCCAAACCCCAGCGACTGCTCCATTCAGAGGCTTACCTGAGATATATAGAAGGACTCAGTGCTGAGTCCACTACTGTCAGCAAATGGGACCAAACACTCTCTGGTGAGTAAGATGGCAGATTTATGTTATGTTAGTGGTCGACTGGCATGGATTTTTTCCATAACCAATACAGTTCCTTAGAGAGCAAGGCAGTCAGGTGACTCTTACAAAGTCAGAAAATATTAATAATTATATATATATATATATAAGTGGTTCCCAACCCTGGTCCTTGAGGCACTCCAACACTGCACATTTTGTATGTCTCCTTTCTCTGACACTCCATTTTCAGGTCTTGGAGTCTCTACTAATGAGCTGATGACCTGAATCAGGTGTGTTTGATTAAGGAGACATGCAAAACGTGCAGTGTTGGGGTGCCTCCAGGACCAGGGTTGGGAACCACTGGTCTAAAGAGTGACTAGGATGATAGAATAGAAAAAGAATAGAGAACGCTAAAGTTAGAGGGTCATTTTTAAAAAATAATAAATAGAGAATGCTAGTGGGGTTTAAATTTTATAATAAATAAATATTATTATTATATATTATCACTGTGATCATTTTACTGCTGTAAATATTCTAAGTTTCTTTGATTAATAAATAGTTTGAAGAACAGCATTTATTTGAAATAGATTTTTTGTAACATCAATAAATGTTTTACTGTTTTTTTTTTTTTAATGGTGGTTTGTGTTACACAGTATTTACTCAGAATTTAAACATTTTAGAAAACTATTGCTAGTATTAGAAAAATGTGTATTATCTACTAACGAGTCTGTCCTTAGATTGTGGAACTGATGTTAGGGTAACACCAGCAAATGGCCAAATGTTGTGCTTGTGTGTCACTTCAGCTCGCAGGAAAAATGTCCGGCTCACAAAAGAGCAGGAGAGCCGTCTGCCCTCTCACTGGCTGAAGAGTAAGGGAGCTCACAAGACCATGGCTGCTGCTCTGTGGCGACTTCGGGACCTAATGCTACGAGACACACTAAACATTCAACAGACCTATAACATCCAAAACCTCTGAAGCATTCCTCCTCATTCTCACCCGACAAGACGAGCTGTTCTTAGTGTTTTAATGTGATTGAATAAGGTCCTGTTTAGGGTTTTGTAATGCTAAATATTGTCTGTTGGCTTTATTAGTGTTGATGTTTCTTAATAGCACTTTCGATTGGCTGGTTTTTCTATGTTGGCTATTACATGTTCTTAGACCAATTTAAACATTTTCATAAAATGTTGAACTTTAAAGTCTTGACCTTAATGTTTGTGCATTGTAATCTGTGACAGGGGTAAGTTAGGATTGTTATGAGAGAATGGCCGTGTCTTGGTTCATGGTATATGGCATTGAGTTAATACACCTATTTTTCATATCATCCCTGTTGTATTAGCTAAAATCATTTTGGAATGGACATCATCTGTCTATTGTTTCAATAAACTAACAGTGATGGGACATAATTGTTTTTGTATGTCTATAAAAACACATATATATATATACTTTTCAAAAGATTGTTTTTTTTTTTTTGAAAGAAGGCTTATGTTCACCAAGGCTTCATTTGTTTAACAGTAAAGCAGTTATATTATTCAATTATGATGAATGAATGATGCATTTATATAGCGCTTTTATTGTGTATTGTTGTACACCCAAAGCTCTTTACAATCATGTGGGGGGGTCTCTCCTCAACCACCACATTAGCATATAATGATATTATATATGATATTATTCTGAAATATTATTACAGTTTAAAATGTTTCTATTTTAAACTGAAATAGCTTGTAATAATTCGATGCTTGATGGTAAAGCTATATTTTCAGCATCATTACTTCATTCTTCAGTGTCACATGATTCTTCATAAACCTTTCTAATATTATGATTTGCTGCTCAAGAAATATTTCTTATTATAAATGTCGAAAGCAGCTGTGCTGCTATAATTGTTTATGGAAACTTACTTTTGGATGACTAGAAAGTTCACAAAGAACAACATATATTTGAAATAGACATATTTTATAACATGATTAATGTTTTTGCTGTCACTTTTTATCAGTTTATGACCTTGCTGGATGTAATTATACATTTTATCCCCATTTGCTCCACAAACTTAGCAGGGAAAGTATCTATGTACTAGGTTGGTTCAATCCCTAGATATATACAGGTAGATGCCTCATTCGTAAGGCGGCCCATTGAAACAGTCGCTAATGAGGCATCTACGTGTACGCATCTATGGTTCAGTCACTGTTGGTGACGTCACTCCGGAGGAAACGAGTGAAGCGTCATCCTTCAGGAGCAGTTTCTGCAGCGCGAGGCCTCACTGCACGCGCGAACACGTTCGTTAGACGGGACTAATTACACTCACTAGCCTCTAAAACACAAGACCATGTGGAGCGGCGGAGCGGCGCGTTTCGTGCTGGCGTCGTGTGTTTTGTGCGCGTCGGCGTGTGCGGACGGGCTGGTGAACGAGGCCGTGAAGCGCACGCTGGACCTGAGCTCGCACCTCGCGAAGATCACGGCGGAGATCCAGCTCGCGAACCACGGAGCCGCGCGCGTCAGCAGCTTGACGCTCGCGCCGCACCTGGCCTTCATCGGTGCATCTGTGAGTGCATGAAATATGAAATCCATCTGCGACTTGGACCTGTAGATGAAGCTAGCTAGCTATCACTTAAGACCGCGTCCCGTGCACAGTTCACTCATTCGGATTAGTTTGTGCTTATTTAATTGTGATAAGTAGCGTTGAGTCTTCAGACTGCTAAATAGTCATATATTCTGACAGTAGAACGTTAAACGAAACGTTTATTTTGACGGGTTGCCGTGAAGAACTTCCAGCTGCTGTGTGTGCGATATGACGGTAGATTTCTCAAATGAAACGGTAAATGCTAATGAAGTGACTCTCAGAGCAGCTGGAGATGATATTCGTGTTCATATCGTCATATAGTGAGACGGCAGAAGCTGAAAACACCGCGAGCGTCATCCGCGCTTTAGTATGTGTGTAGTAAACAAAACAGTACGCCCCGCCATTCATTCATTGCGGAAATCATGGCGCCTTATGCGTGATATCAGATGCTTCCGCAGGTTTATAGTATTACTGTAGCATTTCACCGGAGCATTGCGAATCACGCGTATGGCCATGATAAGCGCTGAACGAATGACAGGCTTTCTGTTGTAACATCGCGCAAGGTAAATAAGGGTGACATCTAGTGGAGAAGACTAATGATAAGATTCATGTTAATCAGATCTTGTTTTAAATGTGCTGAAATAAATCCCGGAAAAGATCGATTCGCGGCTTTAGAGAATCGATATCGAATCGATGTCATTTTAAAAAATGAAAAATAAATTTTTTTGCCCAGCCCTATTCATGAGTGTGGCATTTATTTTGATTTTCAGCATTCACTGCATGGGCATTATATCCTGTATAAAAACATCATGTACTGTATGCATGACGGTCTGTGCGTGCAAGAGAACCACGCTGTGTGAACTGGATGTGGACAGGAGGGTTCAGCTGTCACTGGACACATATGAAACTATGCTGCACTACATCCAGTTTCCAGTTATCATGTTCACTGTTATCTATATGTAAAATTAGCATTGTCTGGTATTTATTAGAGCCTGACCGATATATCGTTTTGCCGATATTATCGGCCGATATGAGCCTGTCGCCGATATATCGGTATCGGCGAATATGCCGCCGATATGACATTTTTTTTAAGGAACATATAATGCAGATAAAATGCTTGAAATGGTGTAATTACTTAGTTTGTCCAGCAGAGCGCGCTCCATTGTTTGCTACTGGCGACCTGGATGAAACGCTTTAAAGCTTAAGTCTGGAAAACCATTGAAACTTTGAACGGCCATATCCCTTCAGCTCGAGGAACCCTCTCGGACACGAATCGAGTATGTCTCGAGGCCCGCTTTCAAATGAGACCACCCCCGCGTCGATAGCCCCCGGGGTTCGGGAGTTACGGGTGGTTAAATTTGCGGTCCAGCGCCGACCGATCAAGCGATCCCGGGGGGCTACCGACGCGCGGGGAGGGTGGCGTTCGAGAGGGCTCCTCGAGCTGAAGGGATCCCCCGAATTTGGTGGAGATACGCCGGCTCGTTCGCGAGATAGTGACACCAGTCAACACTTTCACTTCAGTAAGGAGGTCTCTTGTTCAGGCAGCATTCAAGCGTTGTCTTATTTGACCGTAAGTGCCCTGCGAAGTGGACTTCACATGAAATTCCGCCATGATTCCAGTTCCAGGGGAAGGTACACGTTACATTCAAAGGGCATTAAAGTGCGCAAGACGGGAATTTATATTGTATTTATTTACAGAGGTATATTATTTCACACTTCTCTAGTAAGTTTCGTCTGTGTGTGAAGACTGTAGCGCAAATCCGTGAATGAAAGTTCCGAAGTAAAATAAACTTCAAAGGAATAGTTGAATGGAATTGAATTGAATTAAAGTTGAATGAACTTCAACTTCACTGTTCAGTGCACTGATGTCAGACTCATTTTGGATAATAAAGTTTATTGTTAAATTGTTAAATGCCCTGCCTCCATTACGTATCTCTGTCACGTCATTATAAGTGTTTGATCACCACATTTGAGTGATCATTGCAAAAAAAATTATGTATGTATATATATATATATTCTGTTTATGTATATACTTTATTCTATATATAGTACCAGTCAAATGTTTGAACCCTCGAATGAGAAAGTGTCCAAACTTTTGACTGGTACTGTACTATAATATACACAAAGAATATCGGCCGATATATCGATATCTGCCTTTTTTT